CCCTTTTCCAGAGCTTTTCTATCAACACAGAAGAGCCTGAGAATCAGAACTGTCCCTGTTGCCTTATTTATCTCCCTGTTGACAAGAACAAACACAGAATTTTGCTTTTTTTACTAATACAAAATGTTCACCCCATTTTATTATAAATTATGCACAATATTCTTCAATATATTATTTAGTAAAGGCACTATTAGCCATAAAGAAGTCTTATGTGTAGTTTTTCTGTCAGAGTACTGTAGTCATAACTCTTTGGTTGTCTTCTCAGGTTTTGCTGCTTAATAACTGGCTGACTTTGGATAAGCCATGTAAGTTTACCGAGTCTCGCTATAAATACTTGAAGCAAAGATCTGCAAGACCCAAGAAAATTAGATGCTGTGAGATACACATACATTTTTGCAATTACATTTTGTGTAATTATCAGCTCCTCCAAATCCCAGAGAATGCACCATTTCAAGAGCAGTGCTATTTTCCTGCAGCTTTGTCCAAGAAATTAATTTTACCTAAAATCTCCTTCCGAAGCTGTAAAGTCAAAATTTCATATAAAAGCACCATACTGCACATTTTGGCAATATTGGCCTAAAGTTAGAAGCTAGTGAGGAGGACAGAAGCACAATAAATGAATGCACCATCTTTTATAATGTGTACACTCAAGAGTACATCAAAAAAGGACAGTTTGAGCCAAAAGTGTAATTCACTACATTTCCTTGTGCCATTTATGCTATAAATGCTTCAGGGTAAGAATTGTATCTTACTACTTTTAACAACCAGTTTTATGAGGCATCAAGCTTGTTAGATATCTCTTAGGGCTACTATATGTAAATTAAAATACAGCTATATTAAGAAATTAAGTCTCATGTAGAAAGCCCAAACCAGTTTGAGAAGAAAAGTACTTAAATGTTTTTTTCTTTTCTTCTTAAGAAGTAACTTCTGTTCATATAAAGGAAATAGTTCAAACTCAAGAGTAACACTTACCCAGATGGATGATGGTAAGACATAACATTTTTATATGAGAGATAATGGATTTTTTTCAATCACTAACTTGTAGGAAGGGTGAAATATCATGTTTGATTTCAACACTTTGTAAGTGTGAGTAGCACTTAGTAACTTCACAGCTGTACTATATGTATCACCTAATTACAATTTAACATCACTTACCTTTCTACTCATGTATACATTGCTTACTATTATTTCCTAGCAGTTTTTACCATAAAGTTCTCCAAATATGTAGTAGTTACATTTTAAAAAAAGCTTTATTTCTGTTAGCAGGTGAATACTGAATAATCTGAAAGACATGACATACACTATTGGTTATCTTTAGCTTGGTATTATGAGCTCAGTTCCTAAATACAAATCAACACTGACTACAAGGAGGTAACGTGGATTACAATACAAATACAAACAAGACCAGAAGCTGATTTTGCAATTTCATCTAAGCCTATGATAGTTCTTTTTATTCACTGTTTTTGGTGCATTTTGTCTAATATTTCCTTTTACAGCTTGTTAGTCACTAACTTACAAATACCAAATTTAAGGGAAGTCTTTTTTAATATAGCTTATACATCTACACAATTTCACTTCTTTATACTATTAAAAGCATGTCAGTGAAGCAGACATTTTGAGAATTTAATTAGTTGACACTACTTCCCAGTCCTGTGAGATTTTGTATCACAGAGTGTAAAGATTCTCCCAGGCAATCAGCAATAGGACAAGAGGGCACGGGCTTAAGCTCTGTCAGGGGAGGTTTAGGTTGGATATTAGAAAGAAGTTCTTTACAGAGAGAGTGATCAGGCACTGGAATGGCCTGCCCAGAAAGGTGATGGATTCACCGTCCCTGGAGGTTTTTAAGACGAGGCTGGATGTGGCACTGAGTGCCATGATCTGGTAATCACAGTGGGGTTGGATCAAGGGTTGGATTTGATGATCTCGGAGGTCTCTTCCAACCCAGTTAATTCTATGATTCTATGATTATGGTAACTATGAAATAAAGGTTCCACCATCTCATTGCATTTTAGGACATTTCTCAAGGGTCTTGCACATGTTGGTTTTTCTTTCTTCCCTTTTTTTTTTTTTTTTTGACAGACTAGTTTCAAGCTCCATCCCACTTCTCCATCTCTAGTTCTTCAGTCTGTGTTCTCTTCCTCTGCTTTCTCTATTCCTTCATATTTTAGTTTCTTTTCCTTTTTTCTTGACCTGCTCATCTCAGTGCTTTGGAAAAGCCCGTATAAACCCTACATAACTGCCCGTCTATCCAGAGGGAGTTCTCCTCCATCAGAGCTGTTCTACCCATTCCCATGGGTCCATCTCGATGGAACAGCCAGTTCTGCCCCCAGGAGCCGAGGCAGAGCTGCCAGGAAGCCGCAGGGGATGTCCCACAGCTGGTAAGACCAGCATAAACCCGGTTTTACCATCCGCTGTGGCTCTTCCCGCTGTCCCCCAGCTCCCGCCGGGCCGGAGAGGACTCCGGGAGAGCAGCCGGAGCCCAGCGTGGCATTCCCGGCGGCAGAGCGGGGTTCCCAAGCGGGACATGGAGCGAAGCTGTTCCCGCCCGTCCCCGGCCGCGCCCGGGGACAGCGCGGAGCGGGCACTGGGACCTCCGCCTTTGGCACAGCGCCAGAGGACAAACAGGATGGGAACGGGGATAGGGATGGCGTGGGTCACGGGGATGAGGGTGGAGACGGGCATGGGGATGAAGATGGGGATAAGGATGGGGTTGGGGATGGGACGGGACAGGGATAGGGCTGGGCTTGGGGATGGGACAGGGATAGGGCTGGGACAGGGATAGGGCTGGGACAGGGATAGGGCTGGGCTTGGGGATTGGACAGGGATGCGCTCCTCCCGCGGCCAGGGCAGGGGCGGCGAGCTGCCGGCCGAGCGGTTCGATAGGGCCGTCCCGCGGGCGGGGCGGGGCGGCCGCTCGCGGTCTCGGCGATGGATTGGGGGTGCCCGGCGCGGGCGGGCGGTGCCGCCGGACGGAGCGCGGGGGGCGCCGGGCCCGGCGCGGCCTCAGGTACGGCCGGGAGGGACCGGCCGGGGGAACAGGGAAACCGCGGGGGTTGTGGGCCCGGGCCGGGACTGTGTGTGTGTGAGTGACTCGGTGCCGCCGTCCCTCGACCCCGTCCACCCGTGACAGCGGCGCGGGGAAGGCGCTCTGCCCTGCCCGCCCCGGGCATTCCCTGCCCGGGATGGAGGGGGCACGCACGGAGGGGCCCCGCTCTGCCCAGAGCCAGCGGGTGGCAGGAATGGTGATGGTGCGGTAGGAACAGGGAAGTGATTCCGCCCCGAGTTCGGCGCTGGAGAGGCCGCAGGTCGAGTGCCGAGCCCAGCCGTGTCACCTCTCGCTGCAGGGAAGGCACTGAGGGGCTGGAGAGGGTCCAGAGACAGGCAGGGAGCTGGTGAAAGGCCTGGAGTACCAGTCCTGTGAGGAGCAGCTGAGGGAGCTGAGCGCAGGATCAGCGTGGATAAGAGGAGGCTCAGAGGCGACCTTATCGCTGCCTCCAATTCCCTGACAGAGGTTTTAGCCGGCTGGGGGTCGGGCTCTGCTCCCAGGCAACCACTGACAGGACGAGAGGATGGAGTTGTAAGTTAGGCCGTGGGAGGTTTAAGTTAAACATTTGGAAGAAATTCTTCACAGAAAGGATGATTAAACACTGGAATGGGCTTTCCAGGGAGTTGGTGGAGGTCACCGTCCCTGGAGGTGTTCAAGCAAAGACTGGACATGGCGCTCAGTGCCGTGTTCTGGTTGACACGGTGGTGTTTGGTCATAGGTTTGGCTTGATGATCTCAGAGGTGTTTTCCAACCTGATGGATTCAGTGATACTGAGCTGGCACCACTGTCCTGCCCCTCCTGGGGTGTGTGTGGGGGTCTGTGCACCCCCTGCTTTTGGCTGCAGCTCCCTTTGCTCCAGTGGTCTCCAGTATTTTAGCTGCAATACTCATCCTTCCTCTTCCAAGACCCCAAGGGCTTGATCCGCATTTCTTGCTCCTCAGGCATCCACTTTTTTTCTAAGTGCATTAAGGAGATTTACTCATTTCCTTCCCTCTCTTCCTGCTACTTTCCCCAGAGATACCAGTCGACAGGAAGGAAGGAGGAGACCCTCCTTAACTCTGAGTGTGGTGATTCTGCCGATTTCTCCCATGCCTGGAGGGCTCAGCTTTGAGCTGCCAGACTGTCCCGTTGAAAGCTTCCGTGCTGGTCCTTATCAGGGATACGTGGCTGTATATCCTGTGACAAAGCACGATAAGTTTAGTCCTTGCAGTAGACAAGATTAGATCTGCAGCATGTGAAATGTATGTCATTTGTAATCCTTAGCTGATGTTAAATGTGTCACTACCAGTGGCTGGGTGATTGCCCCGTACGTGGTAATGCTTTGGCAAGTTGACATGGGGTTTTTTTTCTTCTATCATTCCTGGACAAGCATGAGAAGGAGGTCAGTGTCAGTTCCACTTGTCAGCTTTCACTCTGCAGACCCCGAACTTGGGCATTTCTAACTCGGTGTGGTCAGAGTTGTTCATGTCCAGCAGGGTCACAGCCTTGCTGGGGTGACCTGAGAACGAACTGAGAACTGTGTGCTTGGATGCTCTGGTAGCTGGTAAAGACTCTGAAGTATGCAGTAGGTTAATATTATGTGTTACTAGTTCTAAGAAACGTGGTTTCATGAATTTTGGATGAGTGCTGGATAGGAAGCTTAAATTTCAAGTGTTCTTTTTATTCCTTAGATACCAGGATCCAGCTGTGCCGTGACAGTTTGATAGTATGACTGTTACATTGTGCACTGCCAGATTCCTAAATCTTTTTATGTTAAGCTAAATTCTCTTGTTTTGGTAATAAAATTAACATGCTTTCTGTTCAGTGTTGTATAACTTTTTATTTAGCTAGGAACAGTGATCTCTGCTTGCAGTACTCAGTACTGGCATGGAAAACTTGGCTTCTTGTTTTTTGGATCTTTTGCTTAACTGTATTTTAAGGATCCTGCTTTCTCTGAGTAAAAATGACGGGGCTATAGTGAATGTAGTATAAGGCTCATCTTTCCACCTCTCCTGGAGATTCTTGCCTTTGCTCTCATCTCGTGACACCCTTTGTAGTGGAGGTCAGGGCTGTGTTAGGTTAACACTGATTTAATGTACATTTCCTATAGGTGTAAAATGAGTTTACTTTCAGGGTTTTTTTTCTGGTTAGAGTGAAAGCAGTGTCTCTGTTTATCTTATCTCAAAAGTAATCAAATGCGAAACAAGAATCACCTGATGACAGCACATGTCAAAAGGGGGAGGAGGTTGTATCCCAGAACTTGTGTTATTGGAGCAGCTGGTATAACTGGAAAAACTGAACCCATTTCTTCTGTGTGCAAGCCTTATCTGGGTATGTTGTCTTTCAAATTGTGTATGAAATAATCTTGAGTAAATACAAGGAAGAATTTCAAGTTGACTTGCTTGCACCATGGCACTTTGTGACTGAGCTGCTGTTCCGGGTCTCTTTTCATTCTTGTTCTGTACTCTTTGGTTTATTTTTTCTTTTTCCTTTTGGGGCAGGAGGGGCTGTGTTTTCCTCATGGAACAGCCAGATGCAATACTTCTGTTTTGCAATTATTTGGCAGTTCTCTGGCTTATGATGTTCTCTTTCTTAACTGTCAGTGCAGTAGAAGTGATTTCATAGTTTGTGAGTTTCATGTGATTTTTTCTTTTTCTCGGTGGAACTTTTAATGTGGAGAAGCGATAATATGCACGAAGAAACATTTAATGCTATTAAAATAACACTGCACATGAAGTGCCAATGGTGCAGTTATACATTCTACCCTCAGAGGTTGCTTGTTGCATGTTTGGAACAGCAGGGTTGGACAGGCTGCTGAGCCTGGTGGCTTTAGTGCAATCACCTGTGTGAACATACATTGTAGACTACATAGTGAGACCATATTTTAATATTTTTGTGTATATCAAAAATTAAAGTGGTGGCTCTGCTTACATGATCTAAGATACTGCAACATTTTAAAGCCAAAATACAGTGTCATGACAAGAAATGTTAAGTATATTTTTAATTTTTTTTTCAGAAGATCTTCATGTAACTGGCTTAAAAATGGTTCCACAAGATGACAGCACCAAGTCTAAGACTGTGGAAATGGTAAATAAATGAATAAAAAAAAAGGCTTTAGAAGACCGCCGTGCTATTTGCTGAAAATTAAAATGATATTAAGAAATGCTTTTAAAATGAATATTCCTTTAAAGACGTATAAAGATTTATATTCCACTATGTCTTCTGGTGGCTTAAATTTATCGTAACCTTTGCACTTTTGTAAGGGTAAAGCCATGTTCTTAGGGAGAAGTGCCTTGAGCAGTTCTTGGTTTAGGTGTCAGATGTTATGTCAATATGCTAAACTTATCCTGAAATGGGCTAATTATTGATAATAAGCGTTGAACAAGGTTCTATGTGATCAGCTCCGGTGAGAACAGCCCACAGTGGATCGTACATGTCTAGCATAATAACTGAATTTAGGTGCAAGTTCTGCACATTTTCACTTGAATATAACTAAAATATGGATTAAGTAGGGGCCAGAAGTGAGCAACTGAATAGTATCTTTCTCTTAGTGATCACTGTGTTAGTGTGCATGGAGGGAAGAATTTTTAAGTATCTTTTTTCCTTTCTTTTTGTTGTTTTTGTATGTGGTTCTTTTGGGTGCCTCAATTGGGGATGCTTGAACTGTTTGAGCTTTGTATCAATAAAAGCCTTCTGGTTTAAGTGTTGCTTATCTGAGATACTGATCTTAATCTCTAGTTGGGTTGGTAGTGTAAAAAGAAAAAACATGACTAGCAGCTAGTCTTTTATGTGAGGGCACTGAACAAAACAGGTGTTGAGGATCTACAGTGAGCTTAGACGTTGTGGAATAGGAGATAAATAATCACATGCTTGTGTCCTAAAAATGCAAAATACATCTTCCAGTTTGTTTGTTTATTGGTTTTTGTTGGCTTTTTTTTTAAAATCAGCTATAGGGATTTGGTAAACTGTGTGGAAAAGGTTTGAACTTGGTGGATGTTGAGCAGTGTGTAAATGTTGAGTTCAGTAGGGGCTGAATCGTAGGTTTGTGTGGTCCATCCTCACAGATTACCTCTTAATCTAATATGCAATAGGTGAGAGGCACGAATTTAGCTTTTGCCCCCTGTGAAGAGTTCATAAACTTTGAGCCAATCTTGGCAGGTAATCAAAGGCAAGATTTAGGTTAAGCATTTAGTTTTGCCCCTGCTGCTACTTGTGTCCAGGGCACTAATTTGTCACTCATTAATGTAGCGTCTGACTCCTGTCAATTCAGGTTATCCCTAGAACAGAGCTTAGCAAGATTCCACATGAATAATATTAATAATAAAATAAAAATCCAGCACTTCTGGGCAATAAAACTTATTTTATTATTCTTGGTTGTCAGTTACAATTTGGTTGTGCTCCATCTTGGAGTATATTTGGCAACATCTGGGTTACCAAATAGTTCCATATCAGATGGGCTTCCAGTTAGTCTAGTATAACATTTTTCTGAAGTCCCTTATGTGTAATGTTTCTTTCCCTATGTAAGGCTTTTTATTGAATGTGTTTGTAGGACCCAAGTTTAAAATTTTTAAAAGAAAAGTTTTAGGTAGGGCAGTGTATTGTTTTGTTTTAATGCAGTAATAATGCTGTGTCCTGTTAAGGAAAGATTTTGGGTTTCCACAAGACATAATATGGAGTTGCCTTATCTTTCTGGAATATTTTAAGGGCAAAAAGCCCATAAACTCTTCCACTACCTTCCTAACTATAACGTTTAGATTCTTTACTCAGGAATGTGGGCTTAACAATAGGGCCTTTCTCTGCATAGCTTAAAAAAAATCAGAATTTAACGTCATCAGGTTCTTGTTTCTCATGTGAACCTCTTAATTAATAAGGAAGGGATCATGTTCTTTGAAATATCAAAAGTAGTAAAGTTAAAAAAGCTGCTTTCTTGCAATTCAGTACTATTCTAGCATTTTTGATGAAGATTGATTCCTAAGGTTGTCGACCTGCCTGTCCTCAACACTTAGGACTTGAGCTACAGCAGAACTTAGGGAACTCAACGTTTTAGAAAATGTTTTGCAAAGATAAGTTCAATATAGACATGTACACAATATTTTTAACTTTGCTTTTTTTTTTTTTCCCCCCCATTTTAGGAGACTATCTTCACTTTGACATGATGTGTGAAGCTTGTTAGTCAGCATTTTTTCTTTCTTTTTTACTGTTCTTGTGAAAGGTATGTATGAGAAAAGTAACTCTTGTTCCTTTGGGTTCATTTCTGTCAGGCCATGTTGCCCTCAATGTACAGAACCCAAAGGTGTGGAGATGCATTTCATTGCAATTTCATCAGTACTGGTACTCTGTAGGACAAAGTGTCTGTCTAAAACTTCTCAAAATAGTAGTTTCTATCTGTCTTTGCATTTTGTGTGATGTTTTACAGGGTTGTAATCCTGTCCTAAAACTTAGTGTATCAGTTTCCTTAGGGTTCTGTTTTTCTGTTGAACATTATTGGCACTTCAAGTATTGTTGTATCTTGAAGGTGCATCGTGTTGCATAGTGAGGACTTTGTACTCACCCTTTCTTGATAAGCTTTTTGCCTTGTTATGGAAGAATCAAGCAAAGGGCTGTATTAGGCACACAGAAATGTTAAACAGGCACTTTGTAGTCAGATGAGAAGGTAATAGCTGCTCTTACTGTAACATAACAAAAAATTTTGACTTCAAGACATAATTATGGGGTCTTTATTTAGAATTTTAGAATCTACTTATCGTGAGTTCAAAAGAAACGGTGCAGTGTGTAGTTAGACTGTGAATAACTTCATATGTAAGTTCTTCTCTGAGAAGTTGTGGATATTCTATCATCCTTTACTTCCTTCCTGCTGAGGGATCTTGGAGCAAAAGATTTGTACAAGCCTGATGTAGACAAGCTGAGTAGAATACTGAGCAACTACAGACTGTGCACAGTATCTGTGCATGATCTCTGTTCACCTTGTGTATTTGCTGTACCCTTTGAAGCAGTTTGTGATGGGAACAGAAGAGCTGTAGGTGAGAGCATCTGACGTAGGGACATCCAGTTTATCAGGCTGCTGCTGCTCCTTCCTGTCTCCAGCTGCATCTCCCCCTCCCTCCTGCAGCACGTAACTGGTGGGAGGCAGGAGTGGGTTCCCTTTCTAGTACACCTTAACACTGTTCATGAATTGTGCTGTAGCCTGACATGGAATGAGATTTCTTCCTTGAGTTCGTTTGAACTCTTTCATGCCCACCTTCCATTTTTAACTTCATCTTATGCAACCACACGAGCAATATTTAGGCTGTATGTAATATAACTTAATGTAATGGTTCATGGGCTATTAGTCATAATAAAATGAAGGCAAAGTTTATAGAGTGTGATGTGTAGCATCTATTAGACCAATTCATAAAACCTGAAAAAACCTTTATAAGCCTTTAAGCATGAAAACCTTTCTGTTAGTTTGCTCCAGTTTACGATAATACACCGACTTATTCTCTCTTTGAGAACAGATGTTCCTCCTTTACTCCTTATCAAGTAAAAACTGTAATTGCTTGCTGAGCCTTTCATAACTTGGCCCCTCCCTACTTACAGACTTCTGCTTTCTTTTGTCAATCCCACCATTCTATCAGAAAAGCAGTGTAATTATCCAGAACTGATGCCCACACATGGAATATATCAGCATAGATCTAATGGTATAATTACACTTCAGGAACTCTGCCTGTTCATTTTTCTTTGAAAAGAAGCCCTTTGAGAAATGGAGGAAAAAGTGTCAAGATTTGAACATGGCAGAAATTGTATTGTAAAGTAGAGGCATGAGTCAAACCAGGAAATAAAGCCATTATCTCCAATACACTTGTGCATATCTGGGCATTTGAATCATTAATCTTAGGAACAGGCTACTCTGGAAAAAAGAAATGGAGCTTCCTTACTGAAGACATTATGACACTGTCTTTTTCATAAATAATTTCTAAATAATGAAAAGACAGTAAGTATTTGTAAGTTGACACATGTTGAAAAAACAAAGTTTAATTTAAATTCATCAAACTGTGTTAGCAAAGTAGATCACCTCTATTTGCTGGGAAAATCAGGAGCTGCTCTGTAAAGGTGACTTTTTAAAGTTTACAATAAATTTGTCTTTTTTTTTTTTTTTTTTTAAACTCTTCATGCTTTGAGGGATCATAATTTACCCAAATGCCATGCTATGACTTTGGAAATATTTGTTAAATGCTTAAGTTTAAACGTGTTTCTGACTACTTTTAGCAGAATTATATTTGGCCCAAGACATCAACCTAATTTCTACTGTCAG